TTCACAAACATGCCTTTATCACAGCGAACACAAGAGAAGTCGCAACTTTGTAGCGGATTAAGCCAAAATGTTTATTCTATAGTGACCTTCTCACATGGCACACCAATCATAGCGTTTTTCCTCCAATTTTAAAATCCGCGGTGTAATCCTATTAACCCTATATAAAGGGTGTTTTAGTGCATGTTTAGTGTGGATTGTTCTAATTGTACTTTGATGCCAGACTTGTCTTCCGAAATAAACGACGTATTACAGTCTACTATAGTCTCTTGTGTTACCATTACACAATCACAGTGCTCACAGTTTTTTTGGACCTGATCGAATGTGTGCGATAGATAGAACCAGTTTATTTATTTTGCAACACAAATAATGCTAATCTCAGGTACCGAGCACAGAAAAGTAAAGTTAAATATGAATTTTGTTAGTCTGACATTATAAAAAGGGACATTTTACGGAGCAACCTATTGAGGTCTCTTATGAAAAATTGAGGCAAGGAGAAAACACTGCAGGTTGTGCTCAAAGAAGACACTACCACTAATATTAAACTTTCTGGGTCGATAAAAAACTGGGTCCATAGCACCAAGAGGTAAATGATTTCCCCAAGACTTTTTCAGACCTTTTCCTAAACTTTCTCATTCGCATTCCCCCCCCCCCAAGACATTTTGACCCTAAATTCAGGCCAACATCATCACCAAAGCTCATCAAAGTTCTGTGGATATAGTAATTTCTTGGCGAAAACAGGCCTTTCAAAAATGAATTAATAACTATGAAGAAATTTAAAGATTCTCAAAGATTTTTTTATTTTTCCTGTAATTTAAAGACGACTCAAAGACTTTCCAGACCTCAAAAAATGCAATGACTTTCAAAGGATTTTTCCATCACTATGGACCCTGAAAAAGTGCCTTAATACTTACATTTGTATTAACTGTATGTATCAATCTATGTCTAGTATAGTTTCCCATACGATTAAAAGTAGCACTGCAGAGATCACATTTGAATGGCCTGGCTCCGACATGTGACATCAAGTGAACCTTTAATGAACTATGAGTGCTATAGCTCTTCTGACAAACATTACATATGAATTCTTTCTTCGTCTTCTTAGCTGTAATAAACAGATTTGAGATATAAAATGAAATTTGATCAGCTCTTCAAATATAATAGCATCACAAACACAGGCTGCCCTTTCTGAGGCAAGAGCACATAAAAGTTACTCTTGGAAGACAAGAATAAACCCACATGATTTCTATCAACAACTGTAGACAATGATTAATTATTTTTGTTGGTCTTAAATACTAAAAGCATAAAAATGTGCAAAATTTAACACTCTGTGTAAAACATTTTTTGGGAAAAATTTTGGTGTACAAAGGGTGATTTACATTTAATTTTATTACTAAAAATTCTTTCAATAGACCTAAAATGCAGATGGCTGCCAAGATGTCATCAAGAGAAAAAGAACTATAAAGTGACTTGTTTTTGCCTTGCAAATGGTGTTCTCTGCCATCAGCGACAACACTGTAACAAAGGTATTTGAAACAGTGAATGATGGGAGTATAACTGAAATATATAACTCTCCTTTATAGTGAAGATGTTAACCCCATGAAGTACCAGCATGTGTGATATTTTTAGGGTCATATGTAAGGTCTAATTACCTCTTATCATGTGAAGAATTACAAGAAATGGACATCGTACCTGTTGGTTCTTCAGCCTGCCCACTTTGATCCACGATAGCTTCAGAAGTGATGTACGTGTCATGTATGATAATACTATGAGCATTAACTGGATTCCCATCCTCGGAGATAGTACTATCTGCAATTTTTAGCTCACCAGTCATCTGCAAACTATCCGTCCCACTAGATCCAACCTGTTCCATGCAAGTTACGTTATCCGCATTTACAGTAATAATAGCTTGAGTACTGTCTGGGATAAACGACTGTGTAGAAAGGTGTCGATTCACTGGTAGCGGATTCTGGAATAGATGAGACTGACCGACCCCTGTCAGACTCACTTCTTCCACATCTGATTGGTTGATGGTTGTCAAGGTTACCGTTTCCTGGGATTGTGATGGACTGTTAGTCATTGTTATGACTGATTGGCTTGGAAACTCGCATGATTGGCTGATTAGACTCTTTGACACGGTAGTACTTGAAACTTCACTGCTTTCTTCAGCTGTTGAGTACGTAAGCTCACCTCCCATGTTGACAGTTAGATTCTGGTTTGGGTTAGTTGACATTAACTCAGCCATGCTTGATAAACACTCTGTACTTGAAATCTGACAGCTCTGTTTGGGCAACGCATCTATGAACTCTGAATCACCCATCAGGACTCTTTCATTCTGTGGCTGCTCATCAATTTTTACTTCCAGTAACATCGGCATTGGGTGTATTTCATCACCTGTAAGAAATATTAGATGCAACTGTTATAACCCTCTGGGCACCATCATTTTTCTGATCAAAATTTGGTGCAACAGTTTGTTGGTTTTTATGTATTCTTCTAGATATTTGTTTGGATAATTTTGAACCAAATCAACATAATTTTCTATGGACTACAAATCTTGATCAACATTTTGGAAAAATTAGGAAAAAAAGGGGGGGCTTAAAATTTATGAATGGTGACAAAAGTTGAGTTAAAGACAAACTTTTGCAAATTTTAGGAGTCTGGGAAAATCAATGATGAAGTTAATATTTTACTGGGTTCAAATTCAACACCATTTTCATTGGGTTTTTAAAAGACAAGTCATTACCTTGACTAAAAATAATGGAACAGCCTAGTTAATACATTAACATTAACCTGTTTTCCCATTAAAAAAAGAGAGTAGTAAGCAGCAGCGACTACTCTAAAATACTTTATTTTCGCTAGGAATTAATTTTCACTATTTTCGCTATTTTCTCCTATATTTTACATTCACCTTGTCAAAAATCAGTGAAAATAAATTCCATAAAAAAAACACCCAAAAAGTCTTTTCGGCAAAAATTAATTCCATGCAGTACTAATATTTTACAGTAAATCATGACAACTTTAAGAAAGAAGCTGAGAATCATGTAGTTGATTATGTTTATCATATTTCTAATTTTGTTTGAAAACTTTTTTTGACATATTGAGCTGTTTTATTGGTCAAGTGCAAGTCTTCGAGAACTGTGACTGTCTGAAAACTGGCATAGAGAGTATATGATGAATTTAAAAACCTTGCTCAGTCATTCTAAGGACAGCATGTGGACAATTGATACACATTGCTATGTATCAGTATATGTTTTATTGCTATTTTTAAATCAGCCAATTTTAATAAAATTATCAGTCATCCTTAGCATAGTATTTGTTGCATCTAACTCCTGATTGGTGGGCACAAGTTCAAATCTTACCTGGGGTTGAACCTGGGTGAGTGTGCCACAGATTCAGTGGGAAGGCTAAATCTACTGGCTGAGATTAATTCACTAACAGATATGATTTGGGGGGAATCTTGGTTAAGGTCCACAGGTGCTTGTGTTTGACAGGACATTGATATTGAAACCAGGATAGCACATTAAACTGGCATTATGACAGAAAAAAGGTCACACAGAATCAAATTTGGAGGGACTGTGATGTAGCATAATTTACTTGTGGAGGGACTGTGATGTAGCATAATTTACTTGTGGAGGGACTGTGATGTAGCATAATTTACTTGTGGAGGGACTGTGATGTAGCATAATTTACTTGTGGAGGGACTGTGATGTAGCATAATTTACTTGTCTATTTCTTATTTACATTTGCAAATTAATTTAAAGAATTTGAGGAAGTCGACAAAAAGTTGCATTCAAAAGGATCTTCATTCACTCCATACTCCTAGCGCCTAGTTTAAGTTGTCAAAAAAGATCTTAATTCTATTCACCGCCAACGGTCAGTTTGATAATACACAGTCTCTCTGATAGAGAGTCTCTCTGTTAATATAACCGCATCACCATCATCCATAGTATTACATTGTACATCCTGCTGGGAACTGATAAATAACATTAATAATGAATAACATAACAGTGACGGTGATAAATGGAGGAAAATCCGACACGAAAACTGAAATAAACGGCAATATTTTCAGTCACTGAAAATCTGTGGCTTTTTTTTAGAACCACTCATCGCCAATAAAATACTATCAATGTTCAATTTATGAGCACAGCCCAATATACTTCTGTACGACTTACCCGCACTGTTATCGACGTTGAATTCTTGGTTCTGACCCGGTTGCTCCGCGGAAAAAGTTACTTCGCTCATGATTACAAACGGGGCTCGTTTACTCCGCGAAGGAAAATGGCGGCTTCGCGGATTTCTGTTGATGCGCATGAATATCGGTTAAAGAAGTGCTTTTATTGCACTCTATTTTATGTACCTCACAATAGAATAGAATTAAAGATATTGTAAGTATTGAAAATGTATTATCAATAAATAGTGCAAATAGGCTCCAAGGCTTTCCGTTTGTTTTCTGATTACCAATACCAGAGGTCAGTTCACCGCGGAGGTATAATTTATTTGCTAGTTGTTGTTGTCACTTCCGGGTTCAGAAATCAGCTGCTCTGGGTCGTATCAATCAGACAGACTAAAGTCGAAATCCCGCCCAGCCATGCAAAGCGTAGCTTGTTTTATTAAGGTTGCCAACTTGTCGTTTGTACGAAAGTCTGTTGGACTGACGTCAACTTTTGTTAGAATGAGTTCGAGTGGAAGAAATCTTGATATCGCAGGGATATTTCCACCTATACCAACCCCTTTCGACAATAATGAAAATGTCAGCTGGGAGCATTTAGAACAAAATTTGAAAAAATGGAACCAAATACCTTTTAAAGGTGAGTGTGATCATCTTATTATAGCTCTATACCTATCGTATAAGACTGACTGCTAGTGATGTTAGTATAGCCATAGACTTCAAGTTAGTACGTCCATGCTCAGACTACAAGTGTACACATGGTATACCCATGCTTATGAAAATAGATTAGTAAAAGGGTTACCGTTTAGCGATTTTATGGGCACAGATCTAGAAGCAGTACCTACACACGAATTGGTGACGTCATAAAATACATGACCTTCAATCGGGGTCGTTTCCTCGGTATATACAAATTGGTATATACAAATTACAATAAGATACTTAAGACATTACACATAAGGTAAAACAAATCATGTGACAATATAATGATAATAACGGTAATAAATCATAGCTTAACAGTTGAACAGAACGCTCATATAGTCAGTCGGGTGACGCTGAGGGTCACGAACTGTGTTGCAAAATGGCCGTGTGGTTGAAACTGGGTCATGGCGTGACGGGTGAGGAAGACATCATTAAACACTCAAAATCACAATAAAACGGGGAAGTGGTTGCATATTACGGCGTAGCCAACATGGGAAATAAAAAAACACCCAATACAAACGACATGGGTTCGAATCACACTAGATACACACTCACCAGAACCGAAGCAATCAGAAACCAGCAATCGTTTTGGCTTTTCCGTTCAACTCATCGGAACACTGGAGTAGTTAGAAAAATGAACACCACTTAACGACCAACGTCGTGGCGTGGTAC